CCTAATTATTCTGTGGAAATTAAATTATTTATTTTCATTTAATTAATTTTCGTCAAAAACGTAGTAATAGTATGTAGCGTATGTTGGAGAAGTTTAATCTGCGCACATTTTCTTGCATTCCGGAAATTCTTCCCCGCCACGTGTTCCTATAGGAACTAAATTACATTCTCTAACTCGTTGTATGGTCAGATACTTACAACGTTGTGGGTTCTTGATACCATAATATTGATTGACAGCAACATTGTCCTTCCGTCTCTCCGTCCGTCGTCGTTAGCACTTAAACCTTTCAGACATTTTTTTCCACAATTGATATTCCCCGATCGATCTGAACGAAGATGAGGCTTTGTTAGTTTGAAACGGATATTTTGTTTTATTTTTGAGTATTTTGAACGAAGCCTCAACATTTTCAAAATTTTCTCAAAAATGACACTATTTTTTATTCAACTTGTCTTCGGATAACGTAAACGACGCAAAGAAACATAAAGACGTTTAAGAGAATGATGCAGGTCTCATAATAAGTGAAATCACTAATTCTTCAAAAATTTGCTAGAGTTCAATGTTTTCGGCGTCTTCCTATAACTACCATATTGAACAACTTCCTATAACTACAATTTGATATTCTTCAATCGATCTGACTGATGCCGCGGCCTCTTGAATTTGAAACCGATATTTTGATTTTGGGGGTACTTTACACGCAGCCCCTGGAAAATTTCCTAAAAATAGATCCGTTGTTTTTGATTAATTTTTATTGTTGAAAGGCGTTTAAGAGAATGATGTAGGTCTCTCTTCGATGCAAAGTTTCTATTTTTCGAAACTTGCAAAAATTCTAAATTTTTTCGGCTTTTCCTATGACTAAAATACTACAGATAGGTTTTTCCCCTTAATAAACTCTGCCCCGTAAGGATAGATTTTGAAATAAGATCATGTACAATTTTTAAAAATTCGAGTTCTTTTTGTGTAATATTCTGTGAAATATTGGCAATTTTTAATTTTTTTTAAACAATTTGTTTCTCAAAAACAACACCATCAATTTCGATATAACCTCGGAGAGCGTATTGGACGATTAAGAAAATGACGCTGGTTTCATATTGGTGGGAAAATTCTAATTTTTGAGAATTAAAAAACTTCAAACTTTTTTCGACACCTTCTTACAACTGCATTTTGGGAAGATAAATATTTTTTTTCTCAATGAAATATGTTCATCAACAATAGACCTTGAAATAATGTCACGTTAAAATTTTGGAAAATATGAGTATGTTTTGCGAATTTTTGTGAAACATAGACACTTTTTATTTTCTTTAAAACATTTTTTCTTAAATACGGCACATTTTTTTTATTAAATTTGAACCTTAGATAGCGTAAAGGACGCGTAAGAAAATGTGAAGCTCTAATGTTCGTTAAAATCCGCGATTTTTCGAAAATTAAAAAAATGAGCGTCTTTCTACAACTACAATTGGGAAGACAATTTTTTCTTAATGAAATATGTTCATCAAAAACATATCTTCAAATGAGATCATGTTGAATTTTCGAAAATATGAGTATATTTGCCGTTAGGTAGCCGGCAAAGTCTGACAATCGACTCAAAATGCCAAATTCATGCATACATGATGCACAGGATTGAATACGGTTAATGTACAAATAAAAAAGCTTTTGTGTTGGTGCCAGTGAGTGGCGTGTGTGTGCCTTCTGCGTGCGCGCGTGCGGGGGCGGGAACGCTGCGGGTCGTCATCGAGCGCGAAGGGGGGGAGGAGCTTCCACGGGTCTTCGATCGGTGTCTGTCCCCCACCTCCCCACCCCCCATGCACGGTCTCTGTTCGACAACCCCAAATTTTCATTTACGTTTGTTCGTTTTGAATATTTGATAAAGTGCATGTTATTTTTCACAACAATTTTATTCCATGATTCCATTAATATTTTGACTTTCTCGCCCTTACTCTGAAAGACTCGTGTAATTGTACGTCGGAAAAAGGCGAATTTTCCTCAGAAATTGTCAGCTAGGTGGCTCAGGGCAACGATTGATGACACTGCAGTGTCTCTGGCCGGGAGGCCCTAGCATTCGAGTCCCGTCGGTGGCAGGAGTTTCGACACTAGCTACTTAGAGAGGTCGAATTCAGCTGCTGTCTGGAGGAGAATTCTAGTGGCCAGATGCTCTGATCCTTAGATATCCGTTGTTTCTTCGATCAACACCAGGCGAATGCCGGAACAGTACTGCTACTACAACTACAATTATTGAAAATGGAGATATTTTTCTTGATGCAATTTGTTCTTTAAAGACATCTCTTGAAATAAGGTTATGTACATTTTTTTTTCGAAAATATTAGTAAATCCGCCAAGAATTTTTTTGCCAAGAATGGGAATTAGGGGCATCAGGTGTGTGTGTGTGTGTATACACACACACACACACCTCATCCTATCACTTCATTAAAGAAGTGTTAATAATTTCCTGCTCAAGCAGTAGGCCCTTGCCCTTAATGGGATGTGCAGTTGGCTAATAAAAAATATTCTGTTTAAATAAACAAAGTTCAAAAAGTAAACTTAAATTACTAAACGATGCAAGGAGTTTTTAATATTATAACACCATGAAAAATATGGTATGTAAAGAAATTTTAATTTTTAATGAAAAATTTATAGATAAATCTGTAGTGTATTTTTTAAAATAGTTTATATTTTTTTCGATGCTTGCAATAAGGGATACAATCACTTGCCAATTGGTGACAGGAAACTATTTAGAGCAGTAGCTCCCTGCGTCACTGCCTCCTCAGATCAATTAACTAAATCACTATCACATTTTAAAGTGTATCACATAATCCAGATATGGAATCTTATCAATACTAAATTTATTCAAATGAAACATTTATAACATAATAGCTAGTTATCTAGCTTTGCCCGGATGTTTATTAATGATAACTAGTGGCTTGCAACTGCAAAATATGCTGCTGAACAAACCATGACAAAATGTATTTATAAAATGTAGCACGCACGTCCAAGAACAACAAATAAAAGTATACTCTCGTATTACACTGTAGTAAATTAAATATTTTCATGAAAACAGTCTTCACGAATACTACAATAACATATTAAGTAAACATACAGTCCAAAAGCTCATTACACGACAGGAAAATAAAAGTAGTGGTGCTACAACACCACACATTTCCTCTCAATATTTGTAACAGCTAGGCAATATTATAAAAGTACATGAACCTGAAAAAGTGTTTCTTTCAATATTTTTTTTTCTCCGCGCCTAGATTCAACCAAAGGTTCTCAGTGTTATACGCTAGGTACGTTATACGTAGATACTCTACACCGCCAGCCACATCAGCTAAGCTCAAACTTCCTGACGCTTAAAAAAAGGTGATCAATTTGTCTTTGCAATTAAAAAAACACTGATTTTTAATATTTAAAGATCTTCTTTTAAATTACAGATTTCTTTAAAAAAAACTCTATCAGTAAGATTGCAGCTTTGCCTTTTTAATTTTTTGTTCCCAATATTCGAAAATGCAGACTCCAACGAAAACGAATCTTGCAGAATTGTTTAAGCGTCCTTTGTTCTATAGGTGAAAAAAGTTTGGAGCCGTTTTTGAGAAAAAAATATAATGTACTCTAATTGCCGTGAATTATAATTGCCGTCAATCGAGTTTTTGTAATCAAGTGGAATCGTAATCAAAACGTGGAATCTGACTACAGAACGTGTTAGAGTTTACTACAATAGAAACCAGATTTATCCATTCTTTTTATACCAAGGCCCGACAATGAGTTTTCCAGACGAGAAATCGCGAGTGAAAATAAAAATGATCCTGCGTCCCTTAAGAGACTGCGCTGCAAATAATGTTCAAAGCCTTAAGAAGCAGGCTCTGTTACTCGTATAGTCAGAAATAGCGAGACGTTAATATTACGTAACTGTTACTAAATTGAGAAAGTACTGCTGTTTTAGCACGACTTATTTTCCCTGGGATAGAGTGAAGTTAAAAAATGGCACAGGTCTAATTTTCATTGAACTCTCTGAGTGTTCGAAAATTTCAAAAGTTATAAATAATACGGAAATGTATGTGCTGGTGTAGCACCATTAGTTCGGTAACAAATACCACAAAACGTACATTCTGACTACACATCGTCTAAGATGAAATACTTTACTACGAAATTTAAGAAGAAATATCCAATCTTTCGACACCAGAACCCCACTATTTTTGTCTCTAAAACACGTTTTTTGACATGTGTTTTAATCTCTAAAATGGTATTTTTTGCCGCAGCACTGCTGTACTGGAAGTAAAAAGGCAGTTACCTGTAGTTATGCTATGAACACATGGGCATTCCTCGTTGCATGTAATGGGACACTGTTCTGCTGAAACCGCTTGTGGATTTGCTTCAAACCACATATCTCGACCTGTAAGACCTCTCAGATAACGAGGAGAGCATTGCGATTGCCTTCAATCATAGGAGGCGAGACTACTTACGGCTTGTGATGGGGTCCAAAACATAACGTAGTTAGTTCAGCACCGAGCTGTCGGCATCGAACTGTTAACCACTCGGGTTGCCGCCTAGATCCAACTCTGGAGGGCAATGGTCATCCGGATAATACGTTGCTTATTACTGAGTTCAGTAGTCTGTTATTCATTGCGTTGGACACTCTTCTCTCCACCAGATCCACCACGCGCATCCCAGCCACATAACTTTCACAAAGTGAAAGCGTCAAAACCACAAGCCAGCTTCAACCATTCTGCTCTTTCGAACCACAACCTGATATTCCGCCCTTTACCGTGGAGGAGCCATTTCGGCACCATGTTTCATATCCTACTTCGTCTGACGGCCTTTCGCTGCCTGACCTTCCCCACCACAAAGTAAAGAGCGCTGCCGGGGTCACGTAGTCGCAATCGCCCTGGAAACGTAATCACTGAACGCATCTGCGCTGTGGCACCCTCGCGCTGCGTTGCTACTCGGGGGTGATTGTGAGCGTGTTATTGAGAGGCTGGTTTGGTGTGAGCGCAGGGCCCCGCGCCAACGTCATGAGCACGGACAACCCCCCGCTCAAGTTCCTGCCCGAGGAGGAGAAGGAGGGCGCGCACGACTCGTCGTACGAGGACGAGACGGGAGGGCTGGAGGGCCTGCGCCAGCCGCCCGAGGACAGGGACACGGTGAGGACGCCCCGTCCACGCCCCGCGCGACCCGCATCAACGCCCTCACATCTCTAGCCCACCCTCCTGAACGCCACGCTCTCGTCCCAACACGCTAAAGCGCGAGATGTGTCGTTCCCCACGCCCACACGCTCCCACCTCTTCCCAAACGCCTCGCCCACCTCCCGACACGTGTAACGTGCCCACCTCGTCCCCAACGCCCACACGCCTTGTGCCACGCTTCCATCTCCTCCCCTACGCCCTGTCCCTCCCCTCCCAACGCCACGGCCACCTCCCACTCGCCTCCTCACGACCCGTTCCACCTCGTCCAAACGCCACCCGCCCCCATCCCCCACACGCCTTGTGCCACGCTCCCATCTCCTCCCCTACACCCCTTCCCTCCTCTCCCAACGCCACGCCCACCTTCCATTCGCCCCTCTTCACCCTCCTCTCTCACACGCCCTCGTTCTCTCGCGCCCCCTCCATCTTCGCTCCTAAGCCTCTGTTGGCCCCCGACATGCAATGCAGTGCAGTGCAGTGCAATGGCATGTGGCCCTGCCCCAAGCCTGATGGCTGCTCTCGCTCGGCCGCAGCTGCCCAACACGGAGACGCTGCTGTTCCGCGACGGCCGGCGCCGCATCGACATGGTGCTGGTGTACGAGGAGGAGGACTTCGGCGTCATGACGGAGATGGAGATGCTGCGCAGGGAGCGGCGCAAGATGTTCCTGGAGAACCTGGAGGCGGAGGGGCTGGAGCTGGAGCTGGAGGACAAGTCGGTGCGTGCGCCTACAAATGTTTACTACAATTCGTCAGGCAATGTATTAGAAACAAATTAAGTCTTTCTTCCGTGTTTCTGTAAATATAACTAGGAAATGTTGACAGGAAATGTAGCAATGCAAACTCCGTGCTTCGTCCTGAATGAAACTAGGAAGGGAACTGCTGCTAAGGTTTAAAATGTCTTTAATTTGGGAACTAGTGGTCAGGTTTATTTTCAGCAAGCACATTCTAGGATCACGCAATCAAGTAGAATTCATTTACTACAAGACCGAGCGTATTCAACTTACACATAAAATATCCACACAGTTATACTTACCTGTCAAAACAATTCCATTACTTTTGTTTCGTTTTGAAACATTTTATACTTTTGTATTTTAACTGGTTTCAGAGCTACCGTGATTGTTTATACTTTTATATAAATTCATCCCTCTTGGTCATTTTATGTAGTATTTCCTGAATTAAGTTGATGTGATGAAAGTGACAGACGTTTTCTTCATGTATCTGCATAATAATATAATAAATAAAAATCAGTGTTTGTTTGTATTTTATAAGCTGCCGTACCGTTCATCCGGTTAAGATAAAACTTTCGCAACTTATTGCTGCTCTTACACGAATAATATAAACTTTATACAATGAGAATGTGCGTATGTCTGTCGCACATAGACACAAATTGACGGCGATGTTGATGACTGCTTTGATGCTGACTCAAACGTCCCTGAACAGGAGCTCTCCGCCACCCGCCACGTCCTCGAGTATTAAACGCGCCTTCGCTGTGTATTCTGCCACTGCCGGAATATTTACGTACTTGAACTTTATTTTCGACAAAATCAAATTTCTCCAACTCAGTCATCGCGAATGCATATCCAAACCTGAGGGAAAACGTTTTAACAATGGGGTTCTTGACAACCATGTCCAAATCAACACAAACAACAAATCCATACTAGCGAGAAAGTCTTTCATCTATTAAAAATTTTCCAAAGCGAAGCGTGATTAACAATCACGTGTTGTGGAGCGCGTTAGATGTAATACATTGCAATAGCGAAGCATTTCCGGATCCACCAGTAATAATGAATAGTTACAATAAAGTACATAAGATCGTTTAATAATTTTTAAACAAATTGAGTATTTATATTCTAAAATCATGTGTAAACATAACATGACCATAATATACACATTCTGAAATATCAGACACAATGTGACAATCTAACAAATTTATATAATTTTCAAAAACTCACAGATATGCAAGTTGTGTAGGCGGGAGTTTCGGTTAGTTCGTCTCTTTTATAAATCTCGAAATACTGGCAATAAATATATTCCTTTGAAGATGTTTTGCGTTCATTAAAATCATTTGTAAAGGTTCTAGCAGGAGAAGACATATATGTAATATATTAGACTACAAATGGACACAATGTACAATTAAAAATTTAATGCAGTACATTACTACTACATACAAATCATGCTTAAAAGAATGCAAACAAAAAAATACAAATTTTATTTCATAGTTCTAAACTATTATTATAGACCGCGTTAAATGCTGAGCAATTATTAGAAAAGTTTGTGATATGGGAGTATTGATTGAACTATGTGCTTTTTATTTGCAGATGTCGTATGATGGTAAGACGTTTTTCGTGAAGGTTCACGTGCCTTGGAAAGCTTTGACTCGATACGCTGAAGTGATGAACTTGAAGCTTCCTACAAAGGTAATAATAATAATAATAATTAATAATAATAATAATAATAATAATAATTACGTATCATATTATAATCATGAGATTTAAAAACTAGGTTTAAATTTACTGCAAAACATTAAAATTTTGAGAATTTCTTGTGAAAATATTTTTTTTAAATACAACTTTAACGTTATCAGATTGATTATTGTTAAAGTTCCCCATAATATTATGTAGTTTTCTGTACAAAAAAGTATACTGTAAACCTTCTTTACGTCGCTTTATATCTCTAACGCTTGAACAAGTGCGTATTCTTTAAAGCTTAAGGTCATGGAGCATAAGAAATAGTGTTATTGACATGATTAACATAATTTGTACTGGATACATGTTTTCCTTTAAAGGTAGTGGATAAATGTATTACTGTTTTAAATTACTTCATAGGTAAAAGCTAGACAGTAATTTAAATACTTAACAATATGTACCCCAAAATGACCAATTTGAATTTTAAAATAATTTCATTGCAGGGAATGAAACGCATAATAAGACGTTCTCTTTCTGTCGAAGAGATTACTACTGTCAGTTACAATGTTGTAGGTGAAAGCGATTCTCCAACAATTTCTCCAGATATATTGGGTAGCAGGGTAATATACAATATCATATTTGTCGCTGTACATAATTTGAGGCTTCCGTGTGATTGCACTCAGGAATCTGCTGTTGAACATTCAGCACGTCCGATTCAACCTAGTGAGTGAGACCTGAGCTGTGTACGCCGTGTGGCACACTGAGCGCGCTCAGGGGAACGTGGCAGTTTCTGACGCGAGCCCGCGAACCGATGCCAACTGATTAACGCAGCTTCCCTACGCACACGTTTAGTTGAGCTCCCCTTTGGCTGCTTGTGGCAGGGAGAATGGCTTACTGGTTTCTTATAAATTCTAACTTCTTAATTCTGTAGTTCGTTTACCAAGGAAACGATTTTCTATAACTCGGAGCGAAAATGTATATTTTCAATGTTACTTACCTTGCTTTGTTGGTCCTTTTAGTTGTCATTCAACTATTTCGGAAAGCTGGGGAAATGATTCCAGAGCTCAAGAAAACGTGCGCAGATTGTGCTTTCTCATATGTCACATACAGTTTTTTCTTTTTTTTTCTGCTCATTGACAAAATAAATCAAATCCACTAAATGCGCGAAACCTGATAATACAAAACGTGCTCCACTTTAAGAAATGATTTTTCGAAATACATCGACTAAAGGGGCTGAACAGAGGTTGAAAGGACAAAAATGTATTTTAAATATTTTGCGTCTGGACATTACAGACGTTCGTGCACTGGGACGAGTGGTTAGGAGGGGAGAGGAGGGGCGGGACTGGGTGAGAGAGGGGGAGGGGAATTCTCGGAATTTCAACTGGATGAGCAAAGCAATTACTGTTGCGTAAAGTCTTTGATTTAGTGAAAAAGTAAAAGCATTACTAGTCGAAATATTTTGTCAAAAACTTTATTATACAATCGATGCACTGTTGACACGTACTTAACTAATATAATTGAATCGACACTTCCACTGCCTTTAATTGACATTCACATGAACCTCTCCTTGTTAGAAGTCCGTTCCAGAAATCTTCTGCGAGTCTGGTGAATGGCATTGGGGAGGAATGGATCACAGCGGTAGTTCTTACGGCTGCAGTGGAAATGTTTGGAAGTACCTGGGGCTCTTTGGTGTCCTCTTTGGTGTCTTACGGGGACGTCCCTTTCGTCTCGGGAGTACATCGACGGGTTCATGACGCCAATACAGCAGTCGAATCAAAGTAAATTTAAAAAAATCAAATTAAAAGCCTTGCAGAAGCTTTTACTCTGTTTTATCCTCGATGGTTGCATCGTCCACTAAAGTGTCACGTGTTGCGCAGGACAATTCGTTATGAAATTGCCACGTTCCCTTAGCTCCTGTACAAACGTGATTTACCAATTATTTTTTACACTTTTCTACTTTTTGTAAATAAAACCATTAAATCACAACTCAGAAGACGTCATCACTTAAATTGCTCGAATAATCACTTTCCTTTCATAAGTTTCATCGGTTTACTGGTTGAACAAGTGTTCCCGAGTGAAATTCATCCAATATCCAATCACGACTTTGTTGTTTAAAACCAAGTGTTTCCTGATTTTGTAGCAGATTTCTTATTTCTGTTCAAACATAAAACCAATTCTCAAATTGTGAGATAAAAATACTACTGTGTTTTGAAAACCGTTCAAACAATTAAACTGAATGATGCATAATTTGTTTATATTGAGCATGTATAATCCAATTATTTTAATTATATCTTTCAAACCCTTTATCTCACTCTTTTCAGCCACATCGTAATAATATACAGGAGATAAAAAATAGCTGAAGTCGCATGAAATAATGTTTCACATTTATTGAAGTATAACCGAATAATGTTTTGAATAAGAAAAACTTTGAGTGGAAATCAACAGTAAGCATTCTTCTACCCAATATTCATTATTTTCTTCAAAGGCTCTCTTAAAGACGTCATCTCGCAATCCATTATAGATTTCTTTATCACCACTTGACAGACTTCAATAAACTGAATTCATGAAAATCAACCGGTTCAAAGTCAGAACTTTGGACAACATTTTGTACACCATTTAGAGATTTTTTGTTTGAAAGAAATACACCCACCGAATATTGTAAATCAACAGTCGAACTGCTACCGCAAGTAAGCAGAAGCTCGGGTGTTGCTACGAGTAAGATGTAATGTTGACAGATTTTTTCGCAGACATATATATCATGCTTTCAATCGGGAGAATTCATATATCATACTGATATTAATGAAGGATGAATGTCACGTTACAGCCTACTTTAGGTATGGTGTATTACTCACGCGGCAGTGATTAAGATTTCGTTAGGTGCACTGTTGCATACATGGCGGGCAAAGTGACGAGAAGCACGTCAATAGACTCTCTGCATAGCCAGTGACGGATCGCTGTGCGGGATAAGGGAGTTACTCTGTCCCCAAATCCACCATTGCTTACGAGGCTCCGGCAGCATCGATGACCAACAGTTCTTAGGGTTCGACACCCGACCATGGCGAAATTCGACACTAACTGTTTTGCAGGGTCGAATTCAACCTCTGGAGGAGAATTAACAGACGGTCGCTATATTTCCGTGGTTTATCCAATCAACACCAGGTGGATCGGCGCCGGACCTTACTCTTAGGCGAAGAACGCCGCCTCCCCCCGGCATATAATGCACTACACCTACAGCACGAATGACTTAAGCATTTGATGTGTCCGCAACAATGCTCACTCAACCACTCGAACTCTATTTCTCCAAAACATGTCCTAAGCTGATCACATCGAATATTGTGCTCGAGCGGGCGAGACATAATGACAGGGATGCTTATTTCATAGGGGGTACAGGATGGACTAGAAAATAATGATCTGTAAAAAATATTTGTCAGGTTACGGTCGAGTTGTGCATGGGCTCTAGGAAAATTGAGTAAGAGTATGGTTGCGATTACTTCCGCTGCGCAAATATACATTTATTCCCAGAAAGTAATTTCCGAGAAGCAGGGGACAAGTTGGACAATGGCGAGTTTACAGTCCGAATGTCGTTGAAGCGCGGTATTACTTTGCTTAAAAAAACAATTCCAGGAACGTTTAACTGCAAACTCGTATCTGCAATAATATATATTCGATATGTGAATATATTAATATGTAATGAAATATGTAAAACATTTGTAAAATAAAAATAGTTGTAATTTATTCAGAATGTTATGCAAACTCTCGAAAATTATGTTGAATGCAGGTGTCTTGTACAAGTAAAAATATGTATTTACATGAAAATACATTCCCGAGTAATAAGGTAAAGAATGAGTTTTCTATAAAGTCCATCATCAATGATTAAGCACGCTATGCCTCTGCAGTCAATCCAATATCGTTAGAATTATGTTATTTAATATCACAATCATAATATGTTGTATTGTAAGGTCTTTAATAGAATGTTTCAATTAGTTCCTTGAATACATCTTTTGAGCCTGATCTTCGGTTACTGTCACGAAACCTTCACTTTCTTGGAATAAATATCCTTGCTTCACTTGCATGAGAGCCAACGTCTCGATTCGGTTTGATTATGGTAGCATGATATTCACCGTCCAGGTTAATTTATTCGCTTCCTTGATTTTATCTCCTGGTCAAATGATGATCACTGGGACGTTAGATCAAGGTTTTTAAATTTAAGGATCCTCGTATTATCGTGTGGCTTTCGAACCACTTTGTGCAACTGAATTATTTGCTTTTATTGGCAGCTCTCTCTAATTGAGATGAATTATTTGAACAATGCAGTGACGCCCATCTTTCTGGAGATTATGATCCTCTAAATACAATTCTTGGAAATGTAGTATTTAAATCTGGGCGAGATTTTTCGAGACTTTCTGGTAGTTTGGTTCTCTTGAAAATATGTGAATGGTTATTGCGAGGTTTTGAAAGCTTTCAACAACGTTTTTAAAAGCGTTTTCAATCGTCTCATTTTCGTTTTACGATTTTCTTTCACTTGATAGTGTAATACTGCGTTAAGAGTACGTATGTCCAGAGGTGTATATTTTTCATAAAAGAATCTCCAATTTTCGTATTTGAATAAGCATTATTTTCATCATTATCATCATTATTATTAATAATATTAACATTATTATATAATTTCTCTATACGATGCGATTTTTTCTGATAAAAAGACGTCGTAGATTGTTGAATTACGAGCCGTTATTGCTCTATTTGAGACCAATGTCATGTCTCATTCGTGATCCATTTATTGTCAATCTCAATGAAGATGCTCGATATTTGTGCTTCTGATCAGCTTAAAAGTGAAGCCATAAAACGCAGATCCTTTATATTCCCACAGCGGCTTATTTTATTATACTCATCTCATACATTGCAATTAACACGACCTAATTAATAGCACAATATACTTTTTTCATGGGAATTGAGATTTTTTTTCTTCTCTGCTTTGTAAATAAGGAGCATTTGTATTCTAACTTTCAGCAAGC